TATATCTTATTTGTACACAGTCGTTTTGCATGTCATCTCATTAGACTGTCAGCTCTTTGAGAGGAAGGACTGGGCTTTTCTTTTTTTTTTTTTTGTCTTTAAAAATCTTTCTTTATATCCCTAAGCACTAACACAGTGCTTGTCACATAGTGGGTATTTAATAAATGCTTGTTTACTTGATTTGTTGACTTGGTTATGTCTATACAGTACTAAACAAATGTTTTGGAGGATATTAACTAACTAGTGCATCTGGTACACAGATTCCTTAACGTGAGAATTAGTTCTGCTTATTTAACAACATCAAAGCAATAGTTTCAAGCCATATTGCTCCACTTTAATGAGGGACTTTTCCATGGTTGTAGAAATTGGTTGTCATGAAAACCCTCCCATGAAGTTTCTACCGTGCCTCATATTTAACACCCCCTTTGGCAAAGTGCAAAAAAAGAAAAAAAGACTTGGGGACAAATGCTACAGTACTGGGCAAAAATGCCTGATTCACACAGACATGGGTTTTATGTGACCATTTCACACTCCTTACATAAAATTCTGCAGATGGGGGCAGATCTTCTCACTCAAAGCCAAATTCAATGTGGCTAACTGTAGCACAACATATAGCACATTCCCTAGAGTTACCTTTGCTTGTGGGACTCCTGGTTATCTCCAGCTTTAGGATGGGGTATTTGGGGAGTACTTACATAAATCACAGCTTGGGCCCCCATTTTGGTGCATGCATTTACAGACTCCAAAGGAACCACAAATTAAATAACAAAAGATTTAATTAAGGTAGAATAGCAATATACTTCACAGGAAAATAAAAGGACAATAGTCATCCTTTTTTATCTACCTTTATTAGAACAGTTCTATCCTTTTTTTTTCCGGTCCCTCACTTTCTGTAGTACTAGGGACTGGGGGCACTGGAACAAATAAAAGGCAGGCAGTACGAACAAACCAAAGGGGTAGAGTAGATAATCTACAAACTCTACAGTTGGGGGATCAGCATCAGGCATCAATCAGGAAGAATTTATTGTGCCTTCTATATGCCAGGCACTATGGGAGGTTCTTGGGATGGAAAAACAAAAAATGAAACAGCTCCTGCTCTTAGGGGGCTTACATTCTATCAGAGAAAGAAACATGTCTATAGATAAATATATAAGAATGTAAGAAAAAATAGGTATGGAACAAATACAAAGAAAATACAAGATAGAAAGGAGAGGGTATTAGAAGATAGTATTAGAGGATTTTGATTTCTGTGCAAGGTACAGAAAAGATGGATTCTTTGCCAGGAAGTGAGTTGCGGTAATAAGGGCTAGAAAAAATTTCTTTCCCTGGAGACTTACAGGTCTGATCAAGAGAGCTTTGAATTAAAAATTGAGGGTGGAAACAGCCTACATATATCTTCGGATCACAAGATTTAGAGGTGAAAAGAACCAGAGAAGAGCTATTAGTCCTGCTTAAGCTAGATAAAAGAATAACAGGTATGGCATAGGAGGAAAAAAGTTAGGAATAGCCCAGTACTAAACAAGATACAGTATCCATTAAGTGGAGGCAGTTATAATATTTATGGCCTCAGTCATCTATACACAAATGCATAGAGTATGGGTACAACAAAGAGAAAGTTCTCATCACAAGCAGGTAAATTCTAGCTCGATGGTAGCATAGACTTAGGAAGTGACTGGAACATGGTAACGGAGTTCAAAGGAACAGATTAAATAGGAGAGTAGTGGAGTAGCATTACATACCAGAAAAAAAAATTCATGTAAGAAAGTTTAAGAATTTCTTTAAAATTTAAGTTGAATTTATTAGACACTTAGAAAAGCAAGCTGTAGATAGTGGAGACTTAGGGATTCATGCACAGTTCCCTTTTTATTCTATGCAGATGCTCATTTTATTTGGTGTTTAAGTTAAAAATTTTGGGGTAGCTAGGCAGCGCATTAGATAAGAGCGCCAGGCCTGAAGTCAGTAAGACTCATCTTCCCGAGTTCAAATCCGGCCTCAGATTCATACTAGCTGTGTGACCCTGGGCAAGTCATTTCACTCTGTTTGCCTCAGTTTTCTGGAGAGGGAAATGGCAAATCACTCCAATATCTTTGCCAGAAAAACCCCAAATGGGGTCATGAGAGTCAGGCAGGACTAAAAAACAACTGAACAACAATACTACAGATCTTCTCCTACCCATCACCCCTACCTCCACACATTCAGATGTGGTTCTGAATGAAGCAAGGGGCCTTGAAATATCATAAATCTGGCATGGAGGCAGTGGTAGGGGTTTCAGATGTCTGCTAAAGCATTATCTACTATAAGTGGAGCAGCTAGTAAGTTCCTGATTTGCCTTAATGACCATTATTTCAATTCTTCAAAAGGTTGAAGATATAATGATGGTAAGTTATTCTGGACCTAATTCTGACTAATAATGAAGAAACGATAGGGATCTTGGTAGGAAATAACCATGCCATCTTGGAGTTCATAAAGTAAAATAAGGATGGAAAAGCCCACCCTATATCCTGGAAAGTGGATCTTAAAGGGTTTAGAGAAAGACAATTTGGTGATGTAGTGAATAGAGTACTGGACCTAGAGTCAGAAATACCAGAGTTTCAAGCCTGGCTCAGACATTTATTAGCTGTGTGACACCATGTAAGTCGTTAAGTCTTAGTTTCTTCATCTACAGAACATGGATAATGATAATATCCAATGTCAGAGTGATCATAAAGCTCAAATGAAAAATATACGCATTATTTTTTACAAAGCTTAAAGCGCTTTAAGTTAGTTATTACTCATTGTCATTGTTATCAACATCATCGACATAATCATTATTCCAGGGTTTAAAATTCTATAGAAGTTATCTGAAGGGGGTGCTGCTAGGTGGTGCAGTGGATAAGAGCACCAGCCCTGGAGTCAGGAGGACCTGGGTTCAAATCTGGTCTCAGACATGTGATACTCACTAACTGTGTGACCCTGGGCAAGTAAATTGCCCCCCACCCCCCAAATAAAAGTCAAGAAGTTATTTGGAGGGTTACTCTGAAGAACAATATCACTGTATAAACAAAAACAATTTTTTTCTTGTGTATTTTTAGGCATTTGGGGTTAAGTGACTTGCCCTGGGTCACACAGCTAGTGTCAAGTGTTTGGTCTGAGGCCGGATTTGAACTTGGGTCCTCCTGACTTAGGGGCCAGTGCTTTATCCACTGAGCCACCTAGCTGCCCCCAACAAAAACAATTCTGATGATGACTAAAAGGAGACTTGTCTAAAGAGCCCAAAGAGGATGCCCAAGGGACACAATGATCAACAGATTAAAAAAAAATAGATGGCAAATGGGAGCAGAGGCAGAACTGAGGATGAAAAAATATCTGAAGTATTAAAACTCAGAACTAGTTGAGGTTGGCAATGAATACTAAAAGATACTGAAAAGAGCTTTCAGAATTAGGTTTTTACCAAGAGTAAGATCAAAAGAGGGGTATCCTGCTTGAGGAAAATGGAATAAGAACAAAAGGTGACTGGAAGAAAGCACTATTCAACCTTCTGTTCTATCTAATCTATCAGGAATAATGGTCTTTAGACTGGGAAAGATGGAACAAAAATAGTTAATAAGGAGTAAATGAGGAGACGAGAGAATACCTCGCTGCCTTCTATAAGTTCAAGTCATGAAGCCGGGACATTTTATATCCTCATGAATAAATTCAATTAACAAGAAATATGAATACATGTAGTTTAACATGATAGAAACATGTCTACACAAACCCCTTTAGACTGTACATTGTCTGAATATTTACTAAGTGCATTTACAATTAGTCACAAACTAGCGCATATATTTCCTCTTTCTTCTAACTTGTACTGCTTTTTACCTAAGAAAATGAACTACCTGGAATGATATGTACTATTTAAATGACTGAGTACTGATAGCAGAAAATTCTTCAGAGTAAAAGAAACAATACCTATTACTAGGAAGCTAACAAGACATGACTTCTTAGGGGCATTAGGAGGTTCTCATAATTTTGCTTCATTTTCCACTCAATTCTGAATGAAAAAAAAGTTAGCATTAGGTGCTACTTAACTGTGTTTGGAAAAGCAATTTTTTTTTTCCTTTTGGGAAAGATATAGGCAATCCTATGATCTAAGCCGATAGAAAAATGGGATTCACTTAAATAAATTTTATTTTATATTGAACGCATCTATTCTGAAAAAAGCAAATGAGAGCCATATTATAGGTAGTTTAATTGTTCCCTTGACCCAATTGTGGCTCACTCCCCTACAAATAGGCATAGCAAGTGATATGAACTGATGATAACATGCTTTCAGCATGCACATACAGTATGGTGCTAATGGCCTGCTGTCAGATTTTTTTGTAGTAGTAGTGAGAAGTTGTGCTTAACCACTCATGAACTTTTGCCCAAGTAGAGAAGGGGCTCAGCCTGTTTTTTTCCTTTAGTAGGAAATCAAACAATGAGTGTTGAACACTCATTATGCACCATATTCCAACTAGCCAAATAACAATAGCCGAGACTTGAGAACATGAGTAATGAAAATGGAAGGAGAAATGTTATACTTAGTGATTTTGTACTTTTGGTTCATTTCATCACGTAGTAGTGCCTTTAACAGAAAATATTTGTAAGATTAACTTGCTTAGTCACAAGATGCATCTCTTTATAAAAAACAGAATACATAAAATAGCAGAAAATCTCTAGTGAAGAGGTTTTTTTTAAACTGTTTCTTGAAAATGGCCTTATATTTTCATACACACAAAAACAAGGACATTTTCCCTAAGAACACTTAGAAAATTCCTAATTCTTTCCTTGAGGTTTTGCAAGCTTGATTTCTGTGGTTTTGTGATATCATAAACCTCCTAAACAAAATTACAGATTGCTGCTCTGTGGGAGACCATTTACACCCTCTGCAATCCCAGTAATCTTTACAAACTTGCAAGCACACTGATCACATCTCAACTTCCTTTTTTATTATTATTACAAATGTATATTATTTCAAATTAAAAAAATTCACACAGAAGCAAAGTCAATTAAATTTTATTACAACTGAGAATATAAAATAAATGCAATTAACTCATTTTAGTTTCAACAGTCATTTCGAGAACGATGTCAAGACAACTCAAACGCAGTAAACTCTTAACTTGAAAGTAAGCAAGCGGCTCTTCCTGCACACCCATCAGAAGGTGCACAGCTGTCTGTGGTTACTACATGACTAGGGCAGCAAACCTTTGTGGTAGCATGAAAAGCATATATAGTACTCCATGTAATAATTAGAAAATGAAGAATGCGTGCATGTAATTGTTGAAAGAGGAAACAGACAGGCACACTTTCACAAATAGGAAACATGGGAAAATACAAACTAGAGCAATTTGGAAAGTATATACTACATGACATATATAAAAAGTTATTTAAATTGCTATTAAAAAGGACATCTTCAGTCCACATTTTGTGTAATACTTTTAGTGTCTACACAGACAGATCTTTAAAAAAATTAAATAGTATTAATTTACTAAATATTTAAGAGATAACAGTGCATTAAGGATTTTTTTCATATAGTAATACATATCACTCCTTTGTAGTGATATCATAAAAGAGTATGTATGGCCTTATGTACAATACATTGTTGCTGTTTTTTTTTAATCCTCTAACAATTATCTTTGCTTAATGGTATTTGTGGACCATTCCTGAAGCTTATAAAGGGAACCTAAGCTGCTATGTTTTATATAAAATGTCACATGTATTTAAATACTTCAAGACTCTTTTCTGAATGCTATTTCTGAACCCTCAACCATCAAGAAGATAGTATCACAGATATAGTGCAGGCAGGATTTGCAATTTTCATACAATTTTTCCTTCATTGTATAGTTGTTTTTTTGTTTTTGTTTTTTTTGCTACATACAATTACTCAAAGTAGACAGTGGCTAATCTGATTCCCCTGTCTTCTTTTTTTTTTAACCCCTTCAACTAACATAATCACATCATTATAGGGAGTGATCTCTTGTTTTACTAAAGGAACCAGGCCGTAAACAAATAAATAAGCAAATGTCACTTCCTATTTTTAACTGCAAAGTGTGAAATGCTTTTGTGAGGGCAAAGAGAAGCTATGCAAAATTCCAAGTACTAAGTCATTTTTCAAAAATCACACAGGTACAAAAATATACTTACTAGTCCTTGGTTTTTGCAAGTTACTGCATTATTTATCTTTTTACAAAGGCAATTCCAACCTCATTATATCAGCCCTGACAGGAGGAAGTCTAACCTTTGTTCTTATGTATCTTAGAATTCTGGAACACCTTCCCTCTAGATATACATTCATCTTACTGTAAAACCAGAGAGAAAGCTGTTCTAAGATGATTTGCAATAGGAATGACAGCAAATGTGCCCCCCCCCCCAAAAAGAGTCTGTTTTTACTTAATTTACTGTTTTAACTTTAAGTACCCTGGTTTGGGTGTCTCTATACACTATACCCTTGAGCATACAGAGAAGTATCTACCTTATTTTCAGATGAAGCTATGTTCATTTGGGCATAAGAAAATTCAAAGGTAAAAATGCAGTGTTTTCAAATTCTCCCCTTTGAAGTGAAATAATAAAGAAAATTAAGCAAAACTAAAATTGTTCTAAAATAAAGTGAGAATGAGTGTTGGTGGGGCAGAACCAGAAGAAGAGGGAAAAAAGAAAATGCTGACAGATAAAAAAGAGCTAATAGGCTTGGTTAGACTGTAAAACAAGTAGTCACTAACAAGGATTTCTGGCTGCAGAGTGTGTGCGCGCGCACGCAGTACGTTCTGAGAAATTAAGAACCAAGAGATACAATTCAGTACCAGCCCACTAAACTCATGACACACATAGTACTGTGAAATGTTTGCAAATGTCCCAAGTACATTTTGAGCATTCCATGTTGGCTCCTGTTTCTTTTGCTCCTTCTTTGTTCTATTTCCCCTGCTATGTAACCTCTCCTTGAGGACAGGAGTACTTTCCTTCTAACTCCCTAAAGTATTTAGTTTAGCTTGGGCCACAATAGACACTAGAGGATTATTTAAAGACCTTCATTAGCATTCCAAATACAATTTCCTTTCATTGCATTTAATTTGGTGCTTTCTCTCTATTGAAGCTGGATACACAGCAGACCTCTCTAATAGAACACTGCTTGCTTATAGGATCAGAAACTGGAATAAGAACTCATCTTTAGTGGGTTTGGTTCACACCTAAAGGACCTTGCTATAAGTCTACCTATAAGGCAGTCATAACAAGGTGTGGAACTCTCCATCACAAAGGACACCTTAGTTTTATTTCCCCAACTAGAATGTAAGCCCCTCCAGGACCTGGACCAGGGTTCTGCATCTTATAAGGTATCTAGTCCAACACTAGGCACATAGTACGTGCTCAATGATTACTTAACTGACAGCTTTATAATGTGATTCATTGTATATGATAAACTTACAATGCTGGCATGACTATAATGATTCAATTCAACAAGCACTTATTGAATACCTACTATGTGCAAGGCACTGTACTAGACACTGGCTAGTAGCTGCTTTCTCACAAAAAAGAAAGAAAAAAAAACAATTATGGAGAGTAGAAAATTGTTTTGAGTGCAGCCTGTGGCCTGGTCTACAATTACTCTTCATAGTTTTTATAAATGATTAATTATTAATTATAAACATTATGCTGAGAGAAGTAAGGCCTCCACAGGCCATTACAACACATCATTAGTGCAAAATGTATAATGGATTCTATCTAAAGTCTTATTTTACTTGAGTTGGGACCCAGATTATCAAAACCAGGTAGATAAGTTCACAAATAGTAAAAAATTGTATATAGTAATCAAGGTTACTTCTAATCCTGGAAAAGAATTTGTGAAATAAGGCTGGTGCCACTTCCATGGTTAAAAGCATTCTGAAGAACCCAGATACTTTCCCTTTTATACTGTGATTAGAGTTGCCAATTTTTATCTTACTTTATAAAGACTAAAAAAATGCCTTCCCCAAATCATTACTTTTCTGAAGAGCCGGGGCTCCTACAACTAGACAATGATGGGATCTTTAGTGTCAGATTTGAGGATAATGGTAACTGGAATATTCATGATAGCTATTATAGTCTTACACTTATTTGCCTATAGGTTTTAGGCACACTCATAAAGTTTTTTCCTAGGGGCAAAAGAAATATTTCAGTGCAATGTAAAACCTCTTAATAGAAAGTTGCATCAACAACAGCAATATGATGTATATATAATACTTATCTTAAACATGAAAAAAATCTAAATATTTTAACATGCTTTTGAAATAGTTACTTTATATCTAATGCAAAAACGAAAGGGAATCATCAAATTTGTATTTTAAAAGGTTAGCTTATAAGCCTCTATTTAATTAGCTTTGATTATTTAAGCTATTTATGCAAGCTGGCCAAAATCGAAGAAATGGATAAATCTTTAGAGAAGCCAACTTTATATACAATATACATGAAAAATTTTCCTTTGAAAGGTTAAGTAATGCATCCTTTAATCAACAGTCATTCCTTTCTAATAAAATCTTAAGGTAGTTAAAATGTTTTTCTTGCTGGCTGGTATGAATGGCCAGAGGACTACATTCCACCAAAGTTCTGAAACCTCTGTTAAGGTGGTCTTAGTTATATTAAAGGATGCCCTAGAAATAGACTGAAATCATGAAACTTAATTATTGAAAACTATAGGAACAAGACAATGATTTTAAAAATGGTGCTCCATATGAATGATTAACATATTAATCACAAACCCTTAATTGGTATTCAGTTCACTAGCATGAAGCATATTAACTGCAAGGACCTAGAATGTGTTTTTCTGTTGTGGGTTCTCCCCCCCCCCCTTAACTTCCCTAAAAACTAGACTAATAAAAACAATCAGTAAATACTCTGGAATAGTTAAAATGTTCTGTTCGTGACATCCATGAGCAAAACAGTAACATCCTGTGAAAACAACGTAGTGCTTTAAAAAGGTGCATTTAACCTGTGTTGCTGAACCAATTTGCTTAGTATAAAACTATTTACAGCTGAAATTCCAATCTAAAACATTAAAATTCTATTAAAGAGCTTTGAAAAGATCAAATCATGACAATTGCTACAACATGAGAAAGGTGCACCAGGAATCCTTCAAAACAATGCTGAAGGTTAGAAAAGTTAAGTGCTGGGTTTAGATCAGACATTTTATCAGAGTAACCACAATGGAACACATGCAGGGGGAAGGGAGCTGGGAAACTTCACAAGGACCTTCTTTAAGCTAATAAAGAAGGTTGATAAGTCCGCTGCAGAACGTTCAGTCAATAAGGTTCTTGTCATATACTTGAAAATCTTCAATCTGTATCACAGTTTGCATTTCTGGTTCTTCTCACTGTGACCTTCATATTGCTGGAGCCTTTGACTTTTGGTTCATTCATTCCGTGCTGAGGGGAGTCTACAGGGCTCCTTAGTACCGGTGAGCCTGATGAGCTGGATGGTACTGGGAGCTCTGCTGAGATGACGTGGAATAGCCCATGGTACTCTGGGACTGAGACGATCCCTGAACATTGCTTTGGTAACTCAGGCGTGAACTGGAGTGCTATGAAAAATACAAGGGAAATTGCTGTCAGAGGGACTGTTTTCAGGGTTAATTATAATAACAATGGGGGGGAGGAGGAAAGAGAAAGTAAGTGAACTTTTTCATCATTGGCTCCAGGTTCAGAGGGAAACAAGTAAAATAAAGCGGTTCTAAAAAGATACATATATGTTAGTCAGGTACATAAAGTTTTTATCACTAAATAATATGTAGGCATATTATTGTATCCAACATGTTTTTGTTTTTTAATCTCCCATAATCTTCACCTTTCTGACTGGAAAACGTTTGAAAAAAGAAAGAAAAAAAACACCTCTGGATGAAGAACAGATTAGGGTTAGGTGGCTTAAATGACTGTTGGAAAGAAGGCATTATTGATTCCAAGGAGTCTTTGGGATGGTTTCTGTTATGTGAAATTTAGAAGGAAAACATTGTGCACAGAAAAATTTTAACTCGGAGTTTAAAAATGTAGAAGACCTTGAGGTGTCATTGAGGAAAGAAGGAGAGAAGAATAGGTTAAGAGGTCCTTTTACTAGTGTTCAACACTAGTTGTCAAACTTGATTCGCAACATATGACCCAAAGCAACAGTGCAATAAAATAGTCTTGGTGAAAAACAATATAACAATACCTTTTTACCTCCCTTCCCTTCAGTTATATAATTGTAATAACTTATGACATGGGAAAGCACTTTTAGCAACTTTGAAATTCTTAACTACACTGCTCTACTCTGTAATTTATTATAACATGCATTTAATTATTTCCATTCATAAAACACTGACAACAATTTATGTTAGGATGTGACTTAGCAGCATGTAATTCTAGTATGTTCCTCTGTGTCCTAAAGGCAAGAATTTCAAGGATACCTTCTAGCTAAATAAATGTCAGAATGCCTAGTTTACAAGTACTGATCGTACTAGGCCACAACTCATTGCTGAGGCATTCTCTAAAGTTCACTCACAGTACTACTGCCACAAACTAAAACAAAGATACAGGTTCCCTGCAAAAGATAAGTGAAGGCTCTAACTTTTGTGATAAAGGAAAAAAATCACCCAATTAAATAAGATCAGGACTGTGAAGTTCACAATCATTTGAAAAGCCAGTGCAGAAAGACAACTAACTGGGCTTAAAGTCCTAAGACCTGAATTCAAATTTCAGCTCCAGTACTTCTGAATAATTTAATTGCGGGCAATTCACTGGACCTTTAGGGTGTTTTCCCTTATCTTCCTTTTAATGAAGAAGGTGGCCTTGCTGATTTTAAATTTCCTTCTTGCTCTAAAAAGTCTATTAGTCCATGAATCTAAAGCAAAGCTCAGGCTACTAATGTATCTTACTCAAGTCACATTACATAGACTTAGTGTCAATTGAGACTAGAATTTAAGGTCTTTTAATTGTAGTGCAGTGGTCCATGACAAACTGCTAATAGCAGTATTTCTGAAAGCCATTAACGTTAAATTTGCTATCTAACATGGTACTACTCATGATAAATTTCAAATCCATATGTGAAGATAAGTTCTTGAAAAATCTAAAATGACAAAACATAGAAACCAGATTACTATAAGATTAATACCAAACAATTATAAGGTTATAATTACTTTAGAAACTCTAGAGAAAACTTCTGGGTTAATACATTAGACACAGCAAAACAACAGGCCTTCAGTATTATGTTAAAAAAAAAAAAAGGTTCTGTACTGTGGTAGAAGGCAAATCATATGGGATGAGAAACAAAGAATGCCCCAAAGAATGTCCTTTCCTTTAAACGGGTAATAAAAGAAACAGCAGACAGATCATCCACTACACAGAAACATTACATAAAAAAGATTTTTGCTTTCTCAGATGGTGTGGTTATTCTAAGGAAAAGAGGACTGAAGAATTTTGAGCTTTATAGCAAGAACCATTCTTAATTCTGGTGGGAAAACTTAGAATTTAAGTTGTATTCTCACCATTTAACTGCTTAACTAAAACAAAGAAATGGCAGCAAATTCATGAAGATGACACAACACATGATTTAAGTCTGTTGCTCATTTACTGGGAACAAATAGACCTTAAGGAAAAAATAAGCAAGTAGGGTAAATTTACATAACACACATACAGACGACAAAACATTTTAATCCTAACTGCTGAAATAGTTTTTAGTGAATCAAGTCTGAAGTCTTTATTAGTTTAATTGATACAAAGTACAGGTATTACAGTTCTATTTGCACTGAATCTGCAATTCTCAGTGAAGATTAGTATGGGAAAACAAAAAAGTGTGTTGAAATTTTCAAAATGAAAAGCCAAAAAGGTAAGCAAGTCATTTATTATGTCCTTCCTAACTGCTGTTCCTCCCCACTTCATGCTAGTCTCCTTCAGGAAGGAACTCACCCTTTAATTCCAATTTCATGTTATCTATCTCCAATTCCTCTATGTTCTTCTGCTTCTCTTTTTCCTGGGGGATTATGTTCTTTAACTTAGTCAGCTTTTTTATTTTCTTCATGTCCCACCTTTTTTCTTTTATCTTACTGCTACTCTGAAAAGTTTTTGTAAAGCATAACTACTGATTCCTCCGTTGCTAATTTTTCTTTCTCCCATCACTGACCTTTTACACCTTCTGTTTTTCCCCTAAGTCATAGTTTTTTTAATAATTATAAAGTGATTTCTAGTCTTAAAATTCTATTGACTCATAATAGTTATTTCTTAGGATTTATAAGTCTGACTTCCTTTCTCTTAGATTATCATGGCTAGCTCTCACTGCCTCCCACTAAAAGAAAACCAGTTCACATTATTTTGTCCAAAGTAGAGATGCCTTTTCTTCCTTTCTGTGTCTTAGCTGCTTGTCTAGGTTATTGCCTGATCAAAAGTGGATAGGTAGCCCCCAAACAATCAAGGGAATATTTTGTTTCACTCCCTGCTTATGAATAAAAAGATTCAAACTATAATGGATAATTAACTCATGATACTCTTGGAATTATACTGAATACGATAATCCAACCTTCATTTTCCATGCAAAAAAATGTGTCCAAATGCTTGGGACACTTGATATAACAGGTTATATGGTCCCCTTTAATAATATTTTATACCTTACAAAAGGAACACTAGTGCATTGGTGGTGAAGTAGTGAATGAATAAAACCACTCTAGAAATCAATTCGGAACCATGTAAGTAAAGTGGCTAAAATTCCCATAAAATATCCTAGGTGTGTATACCCCAAGCAAGTCATTGGCAAAAAATCCCAAAACATTCATAGCAAAATTTCAGCAAAGAATGAGAAAGTAGCTGCCCATAGAATAGGGAACAGCTAAACAAACTGTGATACATGAATGTAATGGAATGTTATTTGTGCTGTAAGAAATAACAAATATGATGAATAAAGAGAAGCATGGAAAGACTCATACGAACTAATGTAAAGTGAGGTGAGCAGAGCTAGGAAGACAATATATACAATGACAACATCAATATAGGAAAGAATCACAAAACAAACACAAGTGATCATTGCAAAAACATAAAATATAAGTTTGGTCCCAAAGAAGAGATAGCTACAAGAACAATTCTGCCCTTCGCCTTTGCAAAACGGTATATGAGAAGTGGAAGGAGGGGGAGAGTCATGGATGAGAAACATTGTATATAACATCAGATTTTTTTTGGTGTATTGATCAGTTTTAAAGTTTAGTTTCTCCTTTTAAAAAAATTCTTTAAGGGATGGTTCTATGGAAGAGGAAGGGGAAGAGATATGGGAGAAATCTATGCTATATAAAAAAAAAGATATCAATACAAACCAATTAATGTAAAAAAAAACCTCTAAGATGATTTATTATTAACATTTTGATCATTCTACAAAATATATAATTGGCAAAATGTCTGAAAAACACAAGCTAATACCTGATACTCAGAAGGCATGACAGGCCCGCCTGAGTTCGTGCCTGAAGGCCCTAGCCGTGGTTTCTTATTTGGAGGCACTGGATTAAGGCCTGAGTCTTGGCTGTGCTGGAGCCCTGCCCCAGCACCCCCTCCTCCTGCTCCGGCTCCTGCAGCTGTCCCATTTGTCTGCGTGCTGTTCTGTTGCTGCTGCTGTTGCGGTGGTGGTGGTGGTGCTGCCTGCTGTGGCTGCTGAGGTGCTGTTTGTTGCTGATGTTGATTTTGCTGCTGTTGATTCTTAAAGAAAATCAAAAGGCAAGACATGAAACTCAAGTGTGTGATTATTGTTTTTGTTACCTGAGAATTCAAATGCTATTCTCCCTTGCCAGATCTAATGGGAATGAAATATGATGGGCAGGTAACTGGGGTCTAAAATCTTTCAAATTGGGCATGTTTCACTGGTTAGGATTTTTAAGCCCCACTATCAAAGTAGGTGACGTTATGACTAAAAATAGCTACAGGGAGTCTTTTCCATCTTTACCTCGTAAAGGTAAAGGATGTCTTTGTCTTCAAGGAGACAAAGGCAAAGAAAGACCAAGATGACAGCTGCTTAGAAAAGGTGGTTTAAAAGAAGATAGTAATGTCAGAAAATAAATCAGTCATTCAAATGTAGCTAATAATGAGCTATACTATAATTAGCTATATAATGATAATAGCAATTAACAATCATGAGCCTATAAGTTTGTGTGCTGTTATTTTGGACTTGCAGGTATATCCTACAGTACCCAGACCTCCCTGGGAACTGAAGGAAACATATTCCTATATTGCTAAGTGAAATTAGTAACTATACTTCTCTAAGGCATAATGATACTTCCTCCTCATTTATTATTTGCTGTCTGGAGAAAGTTGTAGGGGGTGGGAGTGGAGAGGACAAGAAACAGGGGAAGAGAAAAAAGACTTTAAATTATACCACATAATGCGTACCTTGTCTCCTTTTTCTTCAGGTTCATCCTCATTAAGAAATTCTCGTTTGGGATACGGAATCTGGCAGCCAGCAAACACACTGGAAAATACCATAAAACAAATGGTCATGCATTAGTTCTCAAAACTATACAATTCTAAATCTTTTGAGTGTAATAATGTCATGTAGTTGCCCACCCTTCCCATATTTCTATCTATGTCTGTTTAATATCAATTTGCCAATACTATCTGGGTGTGTTCCATTACTATACCCCTCCATATTAGCAAAAACACAAGTATGATTACTTATGTGCTATTTTAGTGTTGAGCTGCCATCTCTGACCTCAAACCTTACCACAGTGAAAATATTTTGATTTTTAACAGCCAATGTTTAATACAAATTTGCCTGAACAACTGGAACAAATTTCCCTCGGAGGCATATTTGTTCTATTTCTGAACCAGTGCATAAAATTGCCTCGGTGGGTACGACAAAGAGGAGGATGATGATAATGTCATTCCCCAAGTAGGGAGGGAGTGTAGCTTGACAGACTGAACATGCAGCACAAGCTTCCACTTCTGTATTCCTTTGCTGGCTTACTAGCTCCTGGCAGAGCTGGGGGGACCACAAGAGGCCACTTGCCTCTTCTAGCTGCAGTTCTGAGCCACCAAACTAAAGGTTCCCTCTCAGTCACTTGGGGAAGTTTTCCTCACTTTAAACCTGCCCTGGTTCACAACTTACTGAAAACTGTTTTGGTTTTTCAGGATGAGGGTAGGGATGGGGGGGGGGGAGGTGGAGGAAGGGAGCCCAGAATCCCAAATTCTTTTTCTTTATCAATTTCTCTCTCTAATGTAAACTTAGGAGAAGAAGATCTTTTGTTTTCAAGCACAAATTCTGTTTTAAAATGTCAACGTATTCAGGTTTTATCATACATACAAAGAAGGCAGAAAGATGTGGAGTGAGATACGTACTCTGATGTAGGCAGGGGATCCTCTTGGAAATAGGGATCCTGCAAAGCTTGTTCTGAGGTAATTCTCTTTGTAGGATCCATAGTAAGAAGTTTCTGAAGCTACAGGGACATGATATGAAGAGACAATTTATGGAATGAATATTTACAATTAAATTTGTTTTTTATCCTAAGGATGTGTGTGTGTGTGTGTGTGTGTGTGTGTGTGTGTGTGTGTGTTTTGTTTTACAAAGGTATACTACGGTTCATTTCATCATGAGCAGGACTCACTTGCTTATATAACATGGTTATATAATTGACAGAAATTAGCAACTGGAGGACTTTATATCATTTCCTATTGATAGCAGTTATTAGAAATTAATTCAGAATAAGAAGAAAAAATATTTGTCAAAATAGGTGGTACAGAAGAAAAAAAAATAAAGGGAAATTTGAAGTCAAAGATTCAAATTCATACTCTAACACTTACTACCTGTATGACCTTGGGCAAATTACCTAAGCTCACAGGCAAGTGGCACAGCGGATAGAGTGCCAGGACTGGAGTCAGGAAGACCTGAGTTCAAATCTGGCCCCAGACATGTAGTTATGTGGCCCTGGGCAAGTTATTTCACCCTGTTTACCTCTATTTCTTCATTTGTAAAATGAAATGGCAAACCATTCCAGTATCTTTGCCAAGAAAACCCCAAATAGGGTCACGAAGAGTCGGATGACTGAAAAGACTGAATAACAACAACAAAATAAAGTGGTTGGACTAGATGGCCCTAGGGATTTCATCTAGTTCTCAATGTATGATCCTTTGCTCCAGATATTGAATTTCTGTGCATCAATGTCATAGAAATGGCTTGCGAATAAATAAAATTAAATTCAAACTTTATTTACTGAGGGTATACTATATATTAACAGGGCATGGTGTTACACATACAGCTGAATAAAAGGAAGACTAACACAGTTGCTTTTCTCATTGAGCTTACAGTTTAAGAGAGATGAGGAGAGAGTTCAGGGATTAGAAAAAGATTAGAGAAAAAAAAACTTTCATTTTTTGTCTTTGCATCTCAAGGCCTGACTTATAGTAAGCATTTAATGACTGCCTGTTGATTTAGGAAGCCCCTGATGAGAGGAAATGAGAAATGAATGTGAACTAAAAAGGAAATCGGGCCTGAACTAGGGCAGCAGTAGGAAATGAAAGACAGGAATGGAGTACAAGAATCTTGTTTTAATTCATGGTGACTGGGAGGATTACCAGCACAGTCGATATATAGGAAAGTCAAGAAAAGGAGCTGGTTTTGTTGAGTTTGAGGAGTGGCAGGACAACTAGGATAGGACTATCTCCTAGACAGGTAGCTAGAAATGCTATCAGGAGACAGATGCAACCTAGATACAGATTTGGCAGGTAGGCATTTGCACAGAAGTGATAGTTTATGCCACAGAGATGGATGATATCACCAGTGGAGAGTACAGGGATAGAAGAGAAATGGGTTGGAAACAGAACAATGCCACCCTTATCTAAGAAACAGGAGGAGGAAGAAGAGCCAGTGGAGGAAAGAGGACAGGAATGAGCAAAACAGCTACCGCTTTAGTTCTCTAGTTAGAATCTCATCCCTTCTCACCTCTAGTGCTGCAACAGCCCCTTAATTAGCCTCCCTACCTCAAATCTTTATCCTCTCCAATCTATCCCTCACAACACTATCAAAATTTTATTTCCAAACACAGGCCTTACCATGTCATGCCCTTGCTCAATAAACTCCAATGGCTCCCTATTACCTTAGAAATCAAACACAAATGCTACTGTTGGGTATTTCAAGTCTTTCACAATCTGGATCCACACTATTGTTCCACCCTCATTGCCTACAGTCTAGTAGAACTGGCTATCTCATGGTTTCTTATACATGACATTTCATCTCCAATCTCTGTTCCTTTGCAAAGGCTGTCGAGCACTCCTTGAATAATTCTCTCCTCATTTCTATCTTTGGTAGTCGCTAATTCTCTAAGGCTCAGATCAAATGCTCACTCCAGCATGATTTCCTGATGTCCCACCCTCAAGCTGCTGGTGCTTCTCTCTCAATTACTTTATATTTATTTTGTGCATTTGTATGTGCTGCATATACTTTTATATGTACATATCATCTTCTCTGATAGAATGCAAGCTCTGAGTACAACTTTCATTTTTGTCTTTGTATCTCAGGGACTGCCACATAGTAAGCATTGAATGACTGTTTGTTAGTTAAAACCTTAAGGGAAGCACATCAGAAACATTTCAAAGAGATGGTGATGTTCCACAGGGTCAAAGGTAATAGACCATAGAATCATAGATTTAGAACTGGAAGGGACCTTGAGAAGACATCAACTCAACTTTATATTTTACAGATGAGGAAACTGAGGCACAGAGGTCAAGAGAGATCCCCCCCCCAATGTCACATGGCTAGAAAGTATCTAGGGCTTGGTTTGAACCCAGGTCAAGAAAAAATAAGAAATGAAAGGGGGAAAGGATATAGATTTAACAATATAAGGTAAGAAAGCAGTTTCAGTAAAGTAGTGAGGATAGGAATCAAACTGCAAAGAAGATAGGCATAAATGAGTAGAGTAGAAACAGTGAGTGTATACTACTTTTTTGAAATCCTTAAAATTATGAGAGAAGGGAGACAGGACACTAATTAGGAGGTGTAAGCAGGGCTCAAAGAAGGTTTTAGGCCAGGAAATCATGAGCAGAAGAAGAGTCAAAAGAGACGGAGATATAAGATGTAATAGGAGATTACTGATAAAGCAAGGTTCTCAAAGAAATGAGAGAGGATGGGATTTATAGACAGAAGACTAGTGAAGAACCTTGGAAAAGAAAAGGAAGGCTGTTGCTCTCCAAGAAGAAAAAAGGAGGCAACAGAAGAGATAGGGAAAGAATGGCCAAAAACGTTGGTGGAGAAGATAAAAGAAAAATTTTGAGGTGAAGAAGAAGGAATTTGAGAGAAATGGGAAAAGGAAGAAAGAGAATCTGCTTTTATGTAGCTAGCACCTACTGTGTGCTAGATACATTGTTTCATTTGATCATCACAGCAACCCTTTGAGGTAGGTGTTATCATCCCCATTTTACAGTTGAATGGCACTGAAGTCATTGTAGCTAAGGAGGTAATATAATAATAGATATGAATAGTATGAGTTCTTTAACAGGGTGTGCTATAGATTTGATGATTAGTAAAAACAAGCTCTCATTGCTGATTAGAACTCTATAAAAGTGAGATTCAAAGATTACCATGGACCAAGTTCCACAGATGGAAGTGGTAATAGGGGGAAAAAAAATTTCAGGAAAGAAAGGAAATAAAGGTCCTCCATTTTTCCAAGTAATCTCCATATCACTGCAAAACTATGGTTTTTTACTACAACCATAAATTTTCTTAAAGGGAAATAAAGATTATAAATTGTTCAATAAAATATTAAATATCAATAACATAAAATTCCTTCCCATTCTCATGAAATTTTCTTAAGCAATGGAGTAGTAGTAATTTTTCCCTGATAAAGTATGTTTTAAAGAAATTAACTTACCAAAAGGAAAACTTTGCTGTCAGGCTTCACTTTGTGTTTTTCCATATATTTTATGAGGCTACTATTGGCATACCTGAAAAATCACATTAAAAAGTGCAATTCAATAGTAATAGAAATCTCTGATTAAAAAAATCAATCACCAGAAAGAAGTATTACATACTTTGTCACCTGTGCTACACACAACTTTTCATTTTAATAGTGGATTTCAAGGCTGGTTTTCTTACATACGTGTACATTCAATAAAAGAATGTTTACCTGAGCAATGACTGAGAGTAGGGTTGAGGGTGGAGGAACTGTGGCTAGTACCTGTATTTCCTTGTTCCTCATGTTATACCTCCTCTTTCTTTGGGCCCCTAAAAAGGAACTTGCAGGTTTCTGTTACTGAGGCGTCCTATTGTACCATTTCCAACCAGGTTTTTTCATTCTGATTGGAGCTCTAGAGGGCAGAGTCCTCTCAATGCCTTCCTTCAGAAAAGACAGACACTGGATTTAGTTTGCTTACTTACTTTGCATCTTCTTCTCTGCCTAGTTTTAAGTCTGTCGAGTAAGATATTTCCCTGGTGTCCCTTCAGCTCCTCTAGAACCCTCATCCCTGCCTTGCTTTCTTGCCTCCTTTTGTGTGTTGTCTCCTAGATTGTAAGCTCCTTGAGGGCAGAGACTTTCTTCCTTATTTTTTTTTTTTAAATTATATCCCCAGTGCTTAGCACAATGCCTAGCACAGAGCAGCAAATAAACGTTTACTGGATTATTAGACTGATTTGTAAAATGCAAACTCCTTGAGGGTAAGGACTATTTTTGTCATTTCTTTGTATTCCTAGTACTTAGCTCAGCAACTGGCACACAGTAAGTGCTTAATAAAATGATTGACTGATTTCTGATTATCAAAATTCAGTTGACCAGTCTGTAAATTCCAGGGCAGTGTTTTACCAAACCTATTGCTAAAGTAGCTTCTTGTTTAAGTATTTTTATCCTTTAGAAGTTTTCTAAAGTAGAATTTCTCTATCTCTTCAACTTGGTGTATAAGCTGCAATTATTTTGCCAAAGATCTTTTTAAAAATACTTATCATGAACACTGCAATACAACATGACCTAATGTTTCCATGAATGATGTTTCTTATTGTCTTTGGAGACACATACAAAAAAACTTGGCCAATTTCTTTATTTGTCTGTCCAAGGAAAACCTGTGAACCACTGTCCCACTTAATTGCAGCTTCCCTTTATCTTTTAGGTTTGATTATTGCAAGGATGTGGCCATAGGGATATAGGGAAAAGGGATAGTTAATGACAGTAATAACACTTGTTAATTACTTACACTTATTTTTCTTATGTAACTATGGGCCTTGTTTATCTGAACATATTCAATTCTTTAAAATTAATTTAGCCAATTCCTTTTCTCTTTTCACTTTAAGCTCCAATGAGCTGATTCAAGTTCACATTTTAGAAAGACATTTAAAAAGTAGCTGACTTCTTGATCTGAGAGTGGTAAGAGACTTCAAGAGATCATGAGTCAACTCCCTGACTAAGATATTGTACCCAATGGCATTATTTCAAGTGAGCTGAATGAAGTCTAGACAGGTTAAATGTCTAGCCTAAGATCACCCAGTCTCAGCTTATGCTAACTCCTAGTTAAGCAGAAAGTTTTTTTCTCTCCTAATAAAATTAAAGTAGGCCAACCACTTAATGATAAATTCTTTGGCTATGGAAACTAACAAAAATTTAAAACGGTTTTCACCACTGGCAGTTTCTGCAGTGATGGTAGCAAGGTGGTAGGAAAGAGGGCAAGAAAAGGAAAAGAGAGGGCAAGGGATGATAAGAAATGCACTGTTTTTAGACTACCTAGGAACATTAACTTAGTGGTTGGTATTCAAAATGTGACTCTTGTCCAATGACCAACAAGTAAACATATTTCTAGAGGAACTAAATCTACATTCTAGCCATAATCAAACCTAGAAGACAAAAGGAAGCTGCAGATAAGTGGAAGGACAGTACACAGGTTCTTCTTTGTCAAACACATGAAAGAAACGGCCAAGTTTATTTTATTGTGCCTTCAAAGACAATAAAAAACATCATTTCATGAGGGGATTTGGTCATGTTTACTGCTGTGCTCATGATAAGTTTTTTAAAAAGATCACTGACAAAATAATTGCAGCTTATACACCAAGTTGAAGAGGTAGAGAAATTCTACTTTGGAGAAATTCTACTTACTAAAACTTGATAAGACCCTTTAAAATATATACTTTGTTATTCTATAATTTCAATGGAAAGGTGAGTAAAGGCAACAGGAGGGGTCAGACTTGGAAATTAAACAGAAGCCTCAAATCTATACCTTATGAAAGCTTTCCTTAAGACAAGAACCGAAAGAGGCACACAATTGACTGAGATTAAGTATTAGATCTTGAGATGCTAATTTATTGTTTTGTTAACTATAAAAACTCTAATTTGGGAAAACAAATGCTACCTTAAAGGCTCTTCAAGAAGATGTCATCCATTCATATGTGAAAATTATACAAGATTCCTTGAAAGATATCACAAGAGAAAACATTGTTTGACAACTCTATGATCATTAATAACAAGCAAGGAATAAAACAGGGAGAAGCATGCTTGAAATGGTAGGTATTTGGCATCGTTATGGAGGAGATTCAATGCATAGCCCAAGTCAAAGAAGGATTCTGTATAGATGGTAAGGTCCACCAGAAGCCATTTGTGAATGACATAATCCTGACTGCATTAAGCCTCAGATCACTGAAGAGTTTCCTAAATAAGATCTAAAATCATTCAAAGGAGTTTTGGTTTTAACTTTCCAAGGGGGAAAGACCAAGCAGATGAAGAATGCCTAATTGTCCAGACTACGATATGCAGTTGGATGTATAATTTATAGTCCTTATTTATCAGCATAAAATTTTGAACACAGACTGCAATGAGTTGGGCACAAAATTGAATAGGAGGAGAGTAGGCTGAATTGCCTTTAGGAAACTGTTAGGTTCTATTAGTTACCCCAAACTTCTCTTGAAACAAGAGTTCATCTTTTTAATACCAACATTCTTCTGGCATTGTTGCAAGTCTGCAAAGCAGGAAACACTAGTCTCCAGAGAATTAAAGCACAGGATCCATCAAAAAACAATGGAGAGGTACACAGATACCAGCAGACTGTAACACATTACAAACAAGGGATTATAAAAAATGATGTAAATGATATCATCAAAGAAGTGTATGATTTTAAAAGAAGATAAGACGGTCACGACAAGAAATAACTAACAGAACATCATTGTTTCACTGATATCCTCACAATGTCAAGAGACCTTAAAAAGACAGTATTCGGCATGTTGTGTAGACTCTATTGTGAACTAATGCAAAGATATGGAAAAGAGTTGTATAAGATGAGTAGACATGGAGGTGGTTTTAACCTGCATCTCTGCAGAACATACCGATGACAGTAAGATACATTAGAGTGTAATTAAAGCAATTTTATTACCTTTTAAAGGTCTTGAAATGTTTGTTGGCTTTCCTATCTTTCCTTTTATTTGTACCTTTCTTCAAGAATCTGTACTTCTCTATTCTGGATATTCTTTTGCACTTCAGGTAGCATGTTAAGTTTAGCTAAGCTTTTCATTTTATTTTCTCTCAATGAAGTAGGATCTTGAGACTGATTTTAATTTAAGAAGTATTCACCAGTTTTAAAATCTTAACTAATATTTCTCTAAGTTAATTGACTGAAGCTTTCCTGAAATACATTTTCTCATTTTAATTTTTTTTCTTTTCCTTTTGGGGGATTCTAAATGCTATATTTTCTGATCATTTTGGTGAAGATTCTCATTTCATTTTTAAAGCATCAACTAAATCCTTCTATAGTTATAAAGTTCAAAGGTTATTTGCCCCTAACAATTATTCCATTTTCTGTATTGTTAAATTACACTCAATATACTCCAACTACTTTGGAGTTTTTGGAGGACTGTTTTATTCCTCTTTCAGGAATTATCTGGATAGCTCACATTACTAAATGACTTTATATGATGGCTTTATTAAATTGATCTAAGGCACTCACAGCCTTTTTAACACCCTTTCCTTCTAGTGTGGAGTTTCTAATAAATTCCTAGATGATATCTTTATTTTTTCTGTTTAGCCATCAAATAGATTCTTTATTTACTACTTTTCATCAATTCTACGATCTCATAAATAAGTATATTGTTTTGGTTTTCTCTCCATCATTCAGCAGCCTACTACTTTGACATTTCAATGATACATGCTATTTTATCATTATCACAATGTAGCCTTGAAGTCAGACCTTTATTATGCTAATGTGGGAAAGTATTTAAAGAATTTACTGATAATACATCTTGTATATCTAGAATTTCTTTCTTTATTTGGAGTTACCTTTTCAATAGCTACTGCACACTGAATAGTTCCTACTTTCAAACAGTGATTCACACAAAAAGCATGATTTAAAAAAAAAAACAACTTCACAGCCCTTTTTGTGGTAGCAAAATATTAGAAATTGAGGGGATGCCCATCAATTGAGGAATAGCTGAACAACCTGTGCAAGAAGAAATGATGAACAGGCAGATTTTAGTAAAACCTAGAAAGACTTGTACACATTGATACAAAATGAAATGAGCAGAACCAGGAAAACAAACACTATACACAGTGATGATCAACTATAAAGGACTCAAGTTCTCTCAGCAATACCATGATCCGAGACAAATACAAAAGATTCACGAAGGAAAATGCTATCCACATCCATATAAAGAATGGATAGACTCTGAATGCAGATTGAAGCATATTTTTTTCACTTACTTTATTATTTTTCATGGTTTTTTCCATTTTAATCTGTTTCTTCTTTCACAACTATGACTAATATGGAAATATGTTTTACATGATAGCACATGTATAACCCATATCAAACTGCCTATCATTTTTGGAAGAGGGGAGGAGAGGAAAGAAGGGAGAGAGAAAAATTTGGAACTCAAAATCTTGCAAAAATGAACGCTGAAAATTGTCTTGACAACTAATTTGGGGAAAAAATAAAATATTATTTTAAAAAAAGCTTTAAATGTTTCCACTGGGAGTCTTCTTCTGGCTATCTACATAAAAGTACTTACGTTGTTCTTCTGAAGTCTTTTTGAAGTGTGGGATACTCTGGCATTTTTCTAATATCTTCCCAATCTTTATCTTACAAAAGAAAAAAAGGTAATAATAGACACAGATTGTTATAAAGGAGAGATATTATGGTTTATAATTCCTCAATATATTACAGGTTATTGGATCCTAAGATACGTTTATCTTAATATCTCACCATCATGTTTAAAAATAAAACATACATATTAAAGACATTTCCTTTAAAAAGAACAAATCACCTGCAGGGAATCCCATGACACTAAAAATACGATCTAGTTGATCATGATGAAAAGGATTGCTTGTTTTGATATCTTCCTGACGACAGTGAAAAATAGGTTCTGAAGTCAATAGTTCAGCAAATATGCAACCAATTGCCCATATATCTGTGAAGGAGGAAAAGACAGCTTATTATATGGATGTATTGTATTCATTGGTTTAAATTCTCTTTATCACAGAACAGTTACACTCTACATATATAATTAAATCATTTAATAACTAAAAAGTAAGAAGTACACCAAAAATATTTATAACATATGGTTAGTGTTGTATAGTGGATAACATACTGGTTTTGAAGTCAGGAAGACCTGGGTTCAATTCCTACCTCAGACATTAGCTGTTGGACTCTCAGGCAAATCACTTAACCTTTCTGAGCTTCACATTCTTTATCTATAAAATGTGGCTAATAAGAGAACCTATCTCACTAGGTTATGATGAAGATAAAATGAGATAATTTGCAAACTTTAAAGAGCTATATAATTGTATGCTAGTGTTGAAGATAAGATAGCTACATCACCACATTCTAAATCAAAAGCCAAACAAAACATTTCTAAACTTCTAGGCAAAGTTACTTTTGGCTATTCAACTCAGTAAGCAATGTATTCCACTGACGTAGGTAGAGCAAGTCTTCCCAAACACTACTGACCATTTAAACACCACGATATTAAAATGATAACCTAAAACAGAACACGATGCCCTAGATAAGATGCTGTGAAACAAAAACTCCAGACACAGTACAGTTATTCCTTCAATGCAATCAATTAGTGATAAAGTAGTATTTATGACAGTTTTTTGAATCTAAACAAGCAGTACATACTAAACCAAATATATAGACAAGATCTAACTTTTATCTGAAAGTCTATCTACTTTAGCTTTCTCAGTATGAAGGCCCAAATGCTAGCTAAGTAACAGTGATAGCAAAGAATAGTCTATACAAGTCTAACAAATGGATGATTCAACAATTCAGCAGACTGATTAACTAACTAAATGAAAACAAATTCTAACTTAAAATTATTTGTCAGGCTCTATTATTTATTATGTGAAACAGACAAAATGCCTCATAGGAAAAATAATATAAAATTATTTAAAACTTAAGTCACTGGAATAGGGTATTCCATATAAATCATTTTTTCAGATAACAGAAGCTAACCATTTCAAGCACAAGAACGCTTTTTGCTAATACACTTCTTTTTTACCTTAAAGTAAAGATAATGAACAATTCTTGATGATTCAGGGTTCCAAAACCAAGTACGAAAACAAACAATAAACAGCTACTGTCCTCAAAGAGTTTACACTCTACTGGAAGCAAACAATATGAACACAGAGAAAATGAAACAAAGTAACTATGAAAATGGGCATCATAAAAGGATTCTCCAGTAAGTTAGTCAACTAGTATTTTAAAGCACCTACTACATATATTAGACAGTATGCCAGGTGCTAAGGATACAAAGAAAGCTGTCCAGGAGCTCCAGTCTAAAGGAGGAGAAAACATGCTAAGAATTATGTACAGGATATATTGAGCATTGTCTCAGAGGGGAGGCACTAAGAATAAGGAGGTCGGGAAAAACTTTAGCTGAGACCTGAAGGAAGTCAGATAATAATGAGGTAGCGATGAAGAGGGAGGACATTCCTGCCATGGAGGTCAGCTAGGTAAAATGCTCTGAGATGGGACACAGAGTATTGCATGTGCTCAGGGAACAGCAAGGTGGCCAGTGTCACTGGATTTTATAGAGCACATGAAGGGAAGGGAAGGTAGTAGGAAGGAGCGGGGCTATGAAGGACTTTAAAAGCCAAACAGGATACTATATTTGATGCCAGAGTTAAGAGGGAAACACTGGATTTTTTGAATAGAGGAGGTGATATGGTCTGATCTGTGCTTTAGGAAGAAAAATTAGACAGTGAGCAGAGGATGGACTGGAATGTGTGAAAGACTTGAAGCAGGGACACCAACCAGCAGGCTACTGCAATAGTTCAGCAAGAGGTGACGGGATTTAAACCAGTGTGGCTGCACTGTCAGAGGAGATGAAGGGGTAATATATAAGAGATGTTTCCAAGGTAGAACAACAGGACTTGACAACTGATTGAATATGGGGAATAAGAGTGAGAAATTGGAGATGACACCTTCATTGCAAGATTGAGTGACTGGAAGAAGACAGTACTTGAGCTAATCCTTGAAAGAAGCTAAGGATTCTAAGACGTAGAGATGACAGGAAAGAGAGCATTCTAAATTCAGAGAAAAACCTGTGCAAAGACATTGAGGAAGGGATGCTACATATAGGAGCCAGTATGGATGCCAGGTTAGCTGTAACTTAGAGATTTTGGAAAAACAAGGTGAAGCCAGACTACAAAGGGCCTTAAATTTCAAACAGAGGAATATTTTATCCTAAAGAGCAATAGAGAACTGCTAACACCTCTTGAGAAGGAGAGTGAAATGTGAGACCAATGCTTTATGAACACCAATTTAGAACATGTGGGGATGCAGAATTAGAAAAAGGTTAGACTAGAAGCAGGGAGAACAATGAAGGGGTTAATATAATAATCCAGGTGCACACCAGTATTCCCATTGAGAGGTATGGAAAGAGCTAGAAAACACTCAGACTGACACAGGTTAATGAAAGACAAAATAATAAATGTTGGAAGGACTAAAGGAGAACAGGCACATGAATACACTGTGGTGTTGTGACATTCAAATGTTTTGTAAAAAAAAAAGTTCAGACTATAGTAGAAAAGTTACTAAATTATGCATATTCTTTGACAGCTAGATAGCAGAATGGATAACAATGCTGGGCTTGGAGTCAGGAAGACCTGGCTTCAAATCTGGCCTCAGAAATTTTCTAGCTGTGTGACCTTGGGCAAGTCACTTAACCTTTGTTTGCCACTGGAGAAGGAAATGGCAAACTACTTCAGCATCTTTGCCAAGAAAACCCTAGGTCCACAGGTTCATGAAGAGTCAAACACAACTAAACAACAAATTTTCTGACCCAGGAATGTGGTGCACACACCCCAAGGAGATAAAAGACAAAAAGAGTGGTCTCTTATTTATGAAAATATTCATTGTAGTCTTTTTTGTGGTAGTAAAGGACTAGAAGAAAAGTGGGTTCTCATTGATTGGAGAATGGCTAAACAAATTGTAAAAGACAAATGTAGTAAAATGTTGCTTGTTTAATTGTGTCCGACTCTTCATGACTCCATTTGGGGTTTTCTTGGCAGAGATACTGGTTTGTCATTCCCTCCTCCAGCTCATTTGACAGATAAGTAAACTGAGGCTGAATTAAGTGACTTGCCCAGGGTCACGTAGCTAGTAAGTGTCTGAGGCCATATCTGAACTCAGGAAGATGAGTTTTCCTGACTTCAGGCCTGGCACTCTATCCACTGTGCCACCTTAAGCATGAATAACTCAGAGAAGCTTGGGAAGACCCATGTGAACTAATGAAGATTGTAGTACACAAAGCTAGAAGAGCAATTTACACAGTGAACAACACTGTAATGTAAAGGAAAATACCAAAAGGACTTGATCAATGTAATTACCGATTGTAATTTCTGAGGACGGATGGTAAACCATGCCTCTCTCCTCCTGGAAAGGGTGGTGCCCTCTACAGTAACAGGTAAGGTACGAGTGGGTGCAGGAAATGAGGAAAGTTCAGGAGGAAAGATAATGAATTCTGTTTTGGACATCCCAAGTATAAAGATGTCTACTGGACATCCAGTTCAAGATGTCTGAAAGGCAATTGGAGATACAAGACTGGAGGTCAGCAGAAAGCCTGGGGCAGGAGATTTGAGAATTATCAGCATTGAGATGGCTAGAGCTGATGAAATCACCAACTGAAGTAGTACAGAGGAAAAAAAGAAAAGGATCAAGGACAGTGTCCTATGGGACACCTATGATTAGAAGGTATGATCTGGAGAAGATCCAGCAAAGGAGACTGAGGAGTAGTCTGACAGGTAGGAAGAAAATCAGAAGTTAGTGGTATCCCAAATTTGAAGAAAAAAGAGAGTATCAAGGAAAACATAATCAATAGTGTCAAAGACTGCAAAGAGGTAGAAGTGAATGAGGACTGACCATGTCACCACCTCCTCTCCCCCCAATAAACATCACTGGCTACTTAACACCTCCAAGATCATATACCTCTGGATCATCAATACCTGAAAGTCCTTCATAACCTCCCCCTCCCCACCCCAAAACTTTCCAATCTTCTTACATTTTACACCACCCCACTGTTACTCTAAGTACTCTTCAATCCAGTGACAGTGGACTCCGTGCTGTTCCTAGAACAAGACACTCCATCTCTTGGCTTCAGGCATTTCCACTTGCTGTCCCCCCATGCCTAGAATGCTCTCCCTTCTCATCTCCACCTCTTAGCCTCCCTGGCTTCCTTCAAGTCCTAACTAAAATCCTGCCTTCTACAGGAAGCCTTTCCTAATCCTTAAGAGGGATCTAGGTGTCTTCCCTTTGCTGATTATTTACTATTTACATATACTGCATAATATCTCCCCCATTAGATTATAAGCTCTTTGAGGGCAGGAACTACTTTTTGCCTCTTTTTATTATCCCTAGCACTTAGCACAGTGCCTGGCACAATAAATGCTTACTGAATGTATATTCCAGCCAAATTATTCTATTAGCTATTCTACCAACTGTATACTCCATTCCCCAGTTTTGAACATTTATATAAGCCACAAGTCCTATGCTTGGAATGGGGCTATGATTTCTTTTCTCTACTTTTCTTTAAGGCTCAGCTCATGTGTCAACTCCTCTGTAAGGACTTTCACGTTCTTTGGGTTCTCTTCCCTCCTCAAATTAACTTTTATTTACTTACATATGTATATGACAAATTCATCTTTGCAGATAAGAAATATTTTGTTTGTCTCTGCATCCCAAATACCAAGTACAGTACACCTTGCATGTCGTAAGCACCTAAAAAATGTTTATTGTGTGCACTTTATGGATCTAAAACTAAAGGTCACTGGATAAGTTTCAATTAAGAAGATACTCCTCGGGAAGCAGATTGTCCAAGGGAGATGGGCCAGATCTAGAGTCTTCACAGTGTGGCAATGCAATAAATATGGACGAAACTCACTAAATATTTTCCTTCTCCATTTATGGCTTTCCACTACCTTCGTGCCCTCAGGAGTTATGCCTACATAAATGCTTAGAAAACATCTTCACTCATATTATGTACTAGAACTTAAGACTAAAGATGACCCTGCAAATTATTCATCTCTATCTTCATAATGTAAGGACCTCAATGATGGACATATATCTGCCAAGGGCCAACCAAGCTAGTTCCAAGAGGCCTATCATCAGGTTGGTTCTTAAGGTAATTTTTCTACCCACACTGACAAAATAATAGACTATTTTAATTTTATAAGTTGGACCAGAATAGGTTTTTCCTCAACTACTTCAAAGGATTCCTGATTATATCAATGTAAGTATTCCTTCCATGGAGCCTCTATTAACTATGTTGGTCCATTAGCCAGTCAATAGCCAATCTCATAGCCTTTCCCATCTTGGTAGCATCTGATGTAACTTGAGTTAGTTCTATACATTAAGTACAAGGAACCACCAAAACTGGATATCTAATATCACAGTCCTAGAGGTGGAAATGAATGAATGAAAAAGCATTTATCAAGTGCTAACTATATGCCAGGCATTGTGCTGGCACCGTGAATACAAATTAAAAAGTGAGACAGTTCTGCTTTCAAAGAGCTTATATTCTAATACGAAAGATAACACACATAGGGGAGGTTAGAGAAGGGATTTTTGGTTTAGGGAGTCACAGAGATGATGAGATGATCCACAGGGAATCCAACTGACACCTCCTTTTCAGAGGTAATGTAGTACTGATTTGATTAGTCTATCCACAGCAGGAGGCAAAAACAAAAGGGAGAGAGGGGTAGGTGTTGCAATAGGGCAGATAACAAAACAGCAGAAAGAGAGAACAAAGACATGAAGAGTAGGTGGATTAGACCAAATGTACATAAAGGAGATTTGTGCTCAACATGACAAGACTGTGAAGGCTTCGAGGAATCAATTTTCAAGATGACTGAAGTAAAGCCCTAAGATCAGGGAAGGGGGAAATTGTAGGTATTATAATTATAATTATTATTAATAAGTGAAAAGTTAATAAAGGAACACAATAACTATTGATCTATATGCTTAATCTACCATATATAAAAATGTTTATGAAAATGATCTACAGACACACAAGGGCCTTCCAAATGAAGGTATTAGAAGGGTACAAAACAGGCTTTTGCAAGCAACATTCCATAGTACACCAGTAGGATTCAAGAGTTTAAAAAGCAAGTATCCTCAAATCACAATTTAACATTGAGAAGTCTTGAGCAGAAAGCGAGTGGACTTGAAATGTTAAACTAAAATAGTTTTAGATAATAAAAGACTTATAAAAATCTTACAGCTAAACGTGTGCTCAGAAATACAAAGAGTATGAGATGTTTACATAATACTTTAAAAAAACAAATAGTAAATACTTATCTAAAATAAATATGATCAAGAGAAAAGAAATCCATCCATTGGCCATGTCTGAAAATGTATGTTTCATTCTGTGCCTCTAGCTCATCACCTCTCTTATCAAGAAGCAGGAAGCATGCCTCCTTAACTGGCTGATGAAGTCATAATAGATCACTGCATTGATCAGCTACTAAGTCTTTCAAAGTAGTTTTGTGTGTATGGGTCCTTTCCTATCTTTGACTTCTTTGGAAGTATATGCCAAGTAGTGGTAACACTATGTCAAAGGCATGTACAATTAAGTGACTTTTTGCTTACCCTTCCAAATTATTTTACACAATGGTTGGATCAATACAAAGCGCCACGAGCTTATTAGTGGGCCTGTCTTCCCATACCTCATTGCCAGAATTTCTATATGGTTACTGATAGCTTGCAGTTTTTCTTTTGAAAACTGCCAGATCATATCTTTTAGCCATTTATCCACTGAGGAAGTTGTTTGGATTTTCAAAGTTAGTAATCTTGAGTGCATTTCAGATTACATGAAGTATTTCTGTAAAGTATTTTTCCTACGTCTATTCCTGATAATCTGGATATGCTGTCATCATTTAGACAGTATTACTTCTATTATAGGCTTGGGATCAAAACATCTAGATTTCCCACTGGCAGGGTAAACAGAATTACCACTCAATTATGCTTTTAATGAAGCTCTTTACATACATACACACACACACACACACACACACACACACACACACACACACAAACATACAGTTTAACACTGATGTAAGTTTCTATTATAGATATATTTAGGGCAGCTAAGTGACACAATGGATACAGCACTGACCCTGAAGTCAAGAAGACCTGACTTCAAATCTGGCGTCAGAAACATAATACTTACTAGCTGTGTGACCCTGGGCAAGTCACTTAACCCCATTGCCTAGCCAAAAACAAAAAACAAAAAAAAAACAAAACAACAACAACAACAATAAATATATTTAAACAAGACCTATGTTGTAGTAGAAAAGAAACAGGACTTGGGATCAGAAATCTGGGTTCCAGTTCTGGTCCAGCCATTAACTACTTATTATGACACTGGACATTCTTCTTTATGTTATGTCCCTGGACTATATTTTCCTTATCTGTAAAATGAAAAGATTCTATCTAAGGCCAATTATAAAATGCAAATTTATATCAAGATTTAAATAAATACAAATACTAGGGCATAGTTAGGTACCTTATTCTTACTAAGGTATCCTATTCCCATTAAGGTAACAGATTCTTAACTATCCCAAGGCTTGAATGGAATGAATTTACTCTGAATCTCTTAGTTCAGACCTCTTTACAGGCTTTAATTTTCAGGGCTTATGCAGGGCTCTAGAACTTTCAGCAGTTTCACCAGGTTATCAGAACTGAAGCTCTTCTTTGGCAACATATTTCGGCTCCCATAGTAAGTTTTTGTTTTATCTATTTGTTTTTGCCACAGGGCCCCACATTCAGTCATTGACTCTCAGTACTCTGATGACAAGATTGTCTATGGAAAGTGCTTTGTAAATCTCAAAGGTAAAAAAAAAGCACCAGGCAAAGGTTAGCTATTAAAATTATTATTACTTCCTAAATAGTCTCTCTCTGGCTCTTGCTTTGAGAGAAAATATACTTATGATCTATTCTAACACAGATACTAAAAAAAATTATAGTGATGCAACCCCTCCCCTGGCCAGCAATGTGACTGTCTTGAGGGAAACTGTTCTAATCTTCTCCTCTACCCACATAATCAACATCCTGACTAGATTTTGGATAAAATAAAATTTGCATTCAATCATTTTCATAGCAACAGGATCACATATCTTTGCTATATGAAAGAGATTTCTTTCTGTTAAAGGGACCACATCCTGTTTCCAAGTACAAAGTCTAAGCTTACCAAATTAAACCTTTTGAAAAGACATGAAATTAGAATATAACAAGTTTTCAAAAGAGATAGCTTAGCTGCTAAAAGCACTTCATAACATTAAAATTTTTATGATAGAATATTGCCAAAGTGGTAAATTATTTTAAGATAACTTACCAATGGCCTTTGTATAATGCCTTGCACCAAGCAATAGTTCTGGAGCTCGATACCAAAATGTCACTACTACTGGATCCAAGTCTGCTAAAGGTTTTAAGGGAGAATTGAATAATCTGGCAAAACCCATGTCAGCTAAAAAATAAAACAATAAAATAAATCAACTTAACATGATATACAAAGCAAAAAACTGCTTTTCAGCATTTTCCTATTCTTAAAATCATATTACTGTATCTTATAAATCCTAAAAATTATGCCTAGAAGTCTAAGCTTCCTAAACCACAAAATGAGCCCTAAGAACATCTGTGTGTGCACGCACACACACACACACCATTTCATTTAACAAATAATTATTCATGAATAATTACTGACATAATCGCATGTATTATGATAAACAGGAATTATGAAGGATACTAAAAAAGTAGAGACTACCCTCCACATGTTACATAATAGATCATTGGAGATTTATCATAAAGAGTCATATCTTCTCATAAGACAAATATAATTAATAGCTACATTCTTCACCAAGGACTTGCCATCAAATAAATTACAGATATAACCAACCAATGGGCTATAAAAACAAAGAAATAATAATTGTATGGCTCAGTGTGAATTTAAAATGAGAAAATTATGTTGCAAGTTCTATAAAATAGATATAAATATACTGTAGACAAAGGAGGAACCTGTAGACAATGTGAGGAACCATCAAGGATGACAGCTGCATAACATCATAAATCTGCTCTAAAATCAATATTATGACCATAATGAGCATTAAATATTTAATTAATAATAATTATGTTCTTCTTCTTAGAATTTAGAAGGGATTTGTAGAGATGGCCCAATTTTTTTAAAACGCCATACAAATAAGTTTGAGTTGATATTTTCTCTCAATAAATTTCCCAATCACAGAGACAAAATCATTTCACTGATCTTAAAGCTACTTTAAGTACAGCGGTAGGTGTTTAATAAATATTTACTGTTGTTGATATGATGATATTCCTTCCACTAAGAAGTTTTGTTGTTTTTTAAACTAAAAACTAAACCAACATTTCTCCCTTTACCTTCTCCTAACTCCTACTTATTCAAAATGTTTCCATCTTTCAGCTAAAGAGATTTAAACTAGATACACTCTAAGGTCTATTCCCTTTCAAAATCATATAAAATTATAATTATTTGGTATACCAAACCACATAAAAATGAAAGAAAAAAAGTGATTCTACTTGGTACTTTGTTGACAGCTATCAGAGCATTTTACTTTTAGAGAGCTATAGAAACAATTTCCACATTATTATAAAGCTTTAAAGAGAATATCAAAGCATTTCTCACAAAATGCTATGACAGACATAATAATTTAACTGCTTAGTTCACTTATTGCTTTCTGTATCTTGAAGCACTCTTAGAACTAATGAATGCTAATACTAATCTACTTAAATAAGCTATATACAAAAGCAAGATTTAAAGAAATACAGTTATGCTTTACCTTATTTATGAATCCTTAATTATGTTCAAGGATTGGTTTTTGATGAAATACAAAGTAGAATATAAGCCTCTTGGGATCAGGGGCTCTTTCACATTTATCAGTATATCCCAGCACCTAACAGAGCGCCTAGCACACAGTGTTTTATAAATCAGTACTGAACTGAATTGAATTAAACTATCACATTACCATGAAATTCTTAAGAGTAAGGATGGGCCAGGCTGAACGGTTTCTACTAAAGAGTAATGAGAAATAAAATTGGATAAACAGGGTAGAGTAAAACTGCGGTACACTCTGAAGGGCGTATTAAGGGATCTGAACTTCATCTTGTGAGTATGAATAGTACATGATGTACTAGAAAGGACAATGGACTAAGGGTTAGAAAACCTGGGTGCTAGTTCTGGTTCTGTCACTCATTAGCTAGAGGATTAGGGGCAAGTCACTTCCCCTCTCTGGAACCCAGTTTCCTCATCTATAAAGTTAGGAGTTAGGTTAGATGGTTTTTAGCTCTCTTTCAACTCCAAAATTCTTTAATTCCTAATAAGGAACCATTAGAGGTTTTTGCCCAGGAGAATGACAGGATGAAATCAATACTTGGAAAATAAAGGCAGAAAGACCATTCAGATGGCTATTATTAATTTGAATAACATATTTCTTTTCCTACAGACCTTTCTTGAAACCCTAGTATTCTCCTTGTCCTCAAATTATCATATGTTTACATACTGTACTCCCCAGTACAATATAAGTTCCCTGAGGTCAGAGACTAGTTGGTTTTTGCCTACTGTCAGTAAATAAGTTAACAAGCACTTATTAAGTGCTTAATATGTGTCAGGCACTAAGCTAAGTACTGGAGCTAGAAAGAAAGGTAAAAATAGAGTCTCCGCCCACAGTGAGAATAGTGAAGACAACATGAAAACAAAGAGACAAAACAAAATCTATACGGTGAAGGTAGGAGGTCATCTCATAGGGAAGGCACTAACAGAGTGAGGAACCTGAAAAGACCTCTTGTAAAAGGTAGAAGTTGAGGTGAATCTTGAAAAGAAGCACAGGAAGCCAGAGGCAGAGGTGAAGAGTGAAGGTATGCTAGCTACAGAGAAGGGCCAATACAAACATAATGAAGAGATGGCGTGCTGCTAGCAACGAACAGCAAGAAGTCCAATGCTGCTAGACTGTACAGTATGTGGAGAGAAGTATAAGAAGCCTGGAGAGGTAGGAAGGGGTAAGGTTTTGAAGGACTTTACATGTCAAGTAGAAGATTTTATATTTTATCCTGAAGATAACAGGGAGCCACTGGAATTTACTGAGTAAGAAGGTGACATGGTCAGGTCTGTGCTTTAAGAAGATGACTTTGACAGTGAGCAGAAGATAGACTGGAGTGGAAAGATTTGGGACAGGGAAACCAACCAGAAGGCAATGATTAAAAAAGCAATAATCCAGATGTGGTGATGAGGCCCTGCTGGGTAGCAGCTGAGTGATGAAAGAAAGGGACATGTGTAAAAGTTGTTGTGCAGGTAGAAATGATAAGACTCAGCAAGAGATTTGATATGTCAGGTGAGTGCAAGTGAGTGCAAGGGTAACATTAAGGTTGCAATCAAGGTGACTGAGAGGATGAATACTGAATAAACAGCCGGCCTGGGAGCCAGGAAGACCTGGGTACAATTCCTGGCCCTGACACATACTGGATATGTCGACCTGGAAAGTCATTTAACCTCTCAGTTCTCTAGGCAATTCTCTAAGACACAAACTTGCACTAGTGAAAGGAATTTCCTCAGCCTGGAGCTCCCTATACCAATGAAATCACAGATCCAATTTTTATCTCCACTCTTACCCCTAGCATATAGTGAAATGCCTTGTAGATGGCAGGGTCTTAATAAATATCTGCTGAACTGAATTGAAACTTGTGGTATTAAGAGCCTAGAAAACAGTTGTAAGTAGTAGTAAAAAGGAAAGACATTTAAAAAAAAGAATCACTAGGATTTGGTGACTGGTTAGCTACAGAGGGCAAAAAGTAAAAAAAGTCAAAGATGATGCTCAGGTTTTGGGATAAATAGGAGAATTATAGCGCTACTGACAAAAATATGTCAGCATTCTAATTATTTTAGTTTTGGACATAATGAGTTTGAAGTGATGGGAGGCAAGTAAAGTTGAAATGTTTAACTAGAATGGAACTAGGTCTTGAGTGAAAAAACAGGTTGGCAAATAGAGACAGTGATGGATTAATTTTATGACTCAAGAAACAGAAAGAAGAACTGATGGTTAAGAACTAAAAGCCTCTGCCAACTTCCAGTTAGGATACAGGGAAAGAAACAAAGAAGGAACTATAAAAGAAAAAGAAACAAGATAATGCAGCATCATAGAAGTCATAAAGGAGTTTTAATAGGTTAGAGCAAGCGATTAACACTGGCTACAAAATGCAAATACTACAAAATCATAAAGAAAAATTACTGAATATTAAGTAATTTGATACTGGAGATTTAAAAAAGGAATGCATAACAAAGAAACTAGAGGGAGTGAGCATGTACCGTACTCAAGGGGTCTAGGAGGAAGAGGAGGAAATATGAAAATAGAAAGAAGCTTGAGTACAGCAAGGTCAAGCAAAGATAAGAGATTTATATATGTATGAAGGAAAGAAAAAAAGAGTAAGCAAAGAGGGAGGAAGCAAAGATACTTGAATGAAAGAGAATATGTGCGGAAGCAATATACAATTCAGGAAAGGATGGGTCCCATGTAAAAAAGTTAGCCTTCAAGAGTACTTGTCCCTTATGACTCATTCAAGGAGAGACCTAATTTGAGATGAAGAGGTAAGTACATGGGATAAGATCATCCACCAAGTTTGATGTGATGAAGCTAAGGAATGGAATTTAGGACTTAAGGAGAATGAGAAAGGAGAACATCTAGGATCCAGCTTTCTTTAGTTTCATACATACACTCAACATACACTTACAAAGCAATTGGCAAGTGGTTGGAAGGGAAGGGAACAAGCATTAATTAATCTCCTACTATGTGCCAGGAACTGTGCTAAAATCTTCTCTCATTTTATCCTCACAACAACTCTGGAAGTTAGATAGTCTTATTACCCCCATTTTACAATGGAAGAAACTGAGGCAGACAGAAGTTAAGTGATATATCCAGCTACTAAGTGACTGAGGCTGAATTTGAACTCAGATCTTCTTGACCCCAGGCTCAGGGCTCTATCCACTGCACTGGCTAGCTGTTATTATTAACATAATATTCTAAGTAAGATTTAAAAGTTTAAGACAATTATTTTACAGGTGAGGAAACTGAGACCCAGAAAGGTTGACTCATCAAAGGTCACACATGTGGCAAAGTGGCAGAGACAATATTTGAAGTGAGAACTTTGACTGAGGTCTGAATTCTTTCCACTGCAATGAGTGGTCTCCTAGCTCTTACTCCTAATCCTAGACAGGGACTTAATAGACCAAAATTACACATGATTATAAATTTCTGGGGTATGTTAAAGACCAGCAGTGGCAGGTATGTCATAAATATAAAGGGTTATGACATGGTACATAATAGGAATTAAATGTGCGTGGCTCTGTGTTAGGTGCTAAAGGGTTATGCGGAGTGAAGTGATATTTAAGTAGAGTTGGATCTAAGAAGTTATGGTTAAGTGATTATATGTAGGCATGTTTCTTAAACTGAGGAGGCAGCACACAAAACCAATGTACAGAAGTTATTACATGAAATTTAATATTTTTGTGGGTTAGTGACTTATCAAAGCTGCTCTATCTTAGATTCATGGAATCTTCAAGTGAAAAGATTCTAAAAGGTACATGGACTTTTTGAGTGAAAAAGAAAAATATTCTAAAAAGAATATTTTTATAAAAAATTTTATGTCTAGATTTTTCAATATTAAAAATGTTCTCTATTCCTCATAATATGTGACAAGGAATTATTATAATTAATAACTATTATAAAGAGCTCTGATAAAGCAATGATAGTCACTTTAAAAATTATTTTAGTCATATTTACCTACCTATTTTGACTCTCCCCCTTTCCGGGCCTTCTCCCATTACTAAGATATTTGCTGGTTTCTAAAAAAAAAAGAAAAAAAAAAGGAGTATTCAAACAATTAAATGGGTATTTCTGACATGTGCAAAAACTACCAAAAATGTTTTCATAAAAGGATGGAAATAACAAATCAATATTTTGTTCAAAATGCCAAACCAATGAGTAAATATCTACTGAGAACTTAATACATAGCATATATATTTTATATTTATTTAAAATGAATACTAACAACTATTTTGTCAGTAAGAGTTAAACAAGATGTATTTGAGAAGCCAGCCTGTGTTATATAAAGCAAATATTTGCATTCATTTTACATGAAGATATAGAAGAGACACTGACACATCATAAAATTATCATTTTATTGGAAGAAATTCTCTTATCAAAAAGTTTATGCAAATTTTTATACCTAATCATTTTATACCCAACCATTTCCTTCATTCAGATGAACAGATATAATACTTTCATTTTTAATATGTAAAGAAACTGTGCTAGGGAAACAAAGTTCAACAGTTTTTTAAACATAGGTAGCTGACAGTTCTCTTACACAAGAATGAGAAATAAGAAATATTTTTATGCATTTTATAGACTGATTGCATCTGTTCCAAGACTGTTATTCATACAATGTTAAGAGTTCTAAGGGAAAACCCTAGCACAGGATGGGAGGGCAAGAATGGATTGTAATCTACAGTCATCCTATGCCACTCTTATCCATATCTTTTCATAAATCTTACCTGAGGGTTCATCAAATATGCTAAGGTCTTCTTCTAGATCTCTTTAACATTGTGTTGGATGGAATATTTGAACTGTCAACTGGTTACCCTACATGGTCATCTTACATCCTTTTCTGGACATATAGTATCTCTCTGGTATGTACCACTTCTGCGCAATTCTTCACTGGTAATACGCTACAATTTACTCTTACTCATCATTGCCCTTTGTATTACCTACAAGTATTTCAAGGCAATTATTTCATGGTTTGCAGGTACAGAGAATAATTTCATTGAGTCAAGAAGCATAAATCCACAAAGCCTACTCTATTTAGCCAGCCCCAAGTCACCAATTAATGAACCCAGACACCCACCCTGACCATCTTGTCATTTTCTTTGCTTTGTGAAAATAACATCATCCCAGCCCCTTACTGAAGTTTTCCACATCGTGGTTCTAGATATTATAATAAAGTAAATATTATCACTGCTTCTGGAAAATGTTCGTTAATTAACTCATGTATGGCTTTACTCATCATTCCTGTGACTTTTCAAGGCAAAATACTTTCCTTCCTAGCCACCATTTCCTTTTTATATTTGTATCCCTTGTCACAGGGCTTGGCATAAATGCATTAAAACTTTTCATTCATTAATTCACTGAAAGGATAGTGACATTAAAAATGGTCTTCCATTGCCAGGAAAAGCTTAGGTACACTACACAATTTCCTAAGGCAATCCAGTCTACACGCCTCCTCTCTGGGTCACTGTTAAACTGTCTTATTTGTCCAAGATATACATACATTGATGAGCCAACTATGAACTGTTTAGTCAACTGCATTTCATACTATGCATACTATGAAGAACGAAAACATTCTGCGGCATGACCAATATATGGATTTATTTTGTTTAACTACACTCATTTGTTACAACAGGGCAGTAGGGGAAAGTAGTGATAGTGAAATTTTTAAAAATAAGAAAAAGAAAAATGAATATTTTAATACACACAGAATTGAACAAAGTCAAGTTTATAAAGGAACTGAGACAAGCATATACTGAGTAGATGTTACTTTTTAAAAAACAAGCTGTATAACAGATTGACAGTGTCATATACAATCAATCCTCTTCGTTTTTCTTTGTATAAGGAAATGTTCAAAATTGTTGATGTTTTCCAAGCTCATAACAATAAAAAACAGATGACTAAGGGTCTCACGAAATGATGTTTATTGTTGCCTTCAGAGACATGATAATGCCAATGCTGTTAATTCATTGAGCAAAGTTAATAACTCAATGGCTGTCTGTTTAATATGTAGATAATATCTGTTGTCACTCCACAGATAACTTTGTTTTACTAGGATGAATGATAAAAATTTTTAAATTAATAATGGATTACACAGAAGAGGCTCTATAATATTCTTAGGTTTGATGCAAGTAAAACTTTGCCACTTGAGAAAATGAGCATTTGCAAAACTTTACCATTAATAGGGAATTCTCTAAGAAATTCTCCATGACTCTAGGAAATAGGTTAGCAAAAATCTCCCAGTTTTTACATTATGGGAATCGAGTGAACCACACTGACTCCATCTTGTGACTCAATTTTGCATCTAACTCAGTACCTTTTCTATTCAACTATGAGCCTAGTCCAATTTCTGTCTTGTGAGGAAACTTTATTCAATTTTAGAAATTGTGAGAAAACTTTATTATATTATTTGAACCAATCCCTGCATGGTGGAAAGCTAGGTAACTACCCTCTACCTGTTGACCAGAAACCCAGTAAGATCCAAAGACTAATACAAGGAAGTTTCTCACAACTATACATCTCAAGAAACCTGCCTCTTATTTGAAAACTGGCCCCATACTGGCCAATCAGTTACTGTTTCCTTGTTCTTTTGACTGAAAACACACTGCTGGGAGGGTTGGGTAGAGACACCTCTTTTTCTTATTTCAGGAAATTAAATTTCTTCACTCTCCCTCTCCCAACTTGGAAAGTCTCTAATCTTTTCTCAATTAGAAATCAGAACATTTAATCTTGCATCCTGGTAAAAAACCTGTTAATTGGTTACATTCAGAGAATAAAAATCTGTCTTCCCCTGTATTCAGACTCCAGTGCCAAGCTGAGGAGGTCATACACTGCTTAATAAACCAATATGTTTGGAAGCTCAGACCTTTGCTTCCTCAGTTATTTCATATTTTACCCATCACAACACCTTGTATGACACTACTATTTAAAGGTGGGGATCACTCTACAAAATTATCTTTCTAGTCACTTCTACTTTAGAAGTTGGTGTGAGTCATGTGTTTGAGGAAAGCCTTTAAAACTGCATTTTATTCTACCTAATTTTTTAAAAATCAACAAACAATAGTCACAATGGAATGTTACGTTGTTTAAATTTCTCAGTCAGTGGTAGGCTTATAAAGATGAGAACTAGGTGCAATTTAACTAGTATGAGGTGGTACCTCAAAGTTGTTTGATTATTAAGACTAAACATTTTTTTCTGAATTGATCCGTAACACTTTGTGTTTCCTCCTTTGAAAAATGTCTATTCATTTCCTTTGACCATTTATTTACTGTGGAATGAGTTACCAATCTGATTTTTAATATCTCACTATCTTCTACATCAATTTTGTCATTTTTTGTAAACATTACCTAAGACTATTATTTCTATTTCAATTATATTGGCTTTTGTTATAAAGTTTTAATGCAGTCAAGTGCATTTATCCTGTTCCCTCAAATTAGTTTCATTTCTCCTCCAAAACTAAGATGAATACTTTATTCCATTGTCTTCCATTTTTTGTGCATGTTCTTTTTTTTTTAATGGTTATGTATACCATCTAGATGGAATTCTTTTTTAAAAAATATTTATTGATACTTTTTGTTTTGTTTCACTACTTCCCTCATAGAGAGCCATCTCATCTTACAAACAAGATAAAAAAAAGAAAATCAGCAAAACCAACGAATATCAAGCCTGCAAATATGTGCAAGGTGGCCCTCCCAACCTCTGCAAAGGGGTGATGGTGTCTTCTCATATCTCTTCTTTGGAGACATACTTGTTTTTTGTAATTTTGAAAAAGTTAGTTGGGAGAGGCTGAAAGGGTTGTTCTTCCTATTTACATTGTCGTAGTCACTGTGTTTATTATCCAAACTAAAACCATTGTGCGTAGATGGTATGAGGTGTAAAGCCAAATTCCTTTCTATTCAAGGTGATAACCAATTTTACAAAGCATGTTTATTAAATAATTTTTCCTCATTTTTCCCCAAATAAATGTTGAAAACATTTTTTGTGATTAAATTGATCTATTTTGCCTATACTTTCTCCTGTTCATTGAAAAGATGAATTTTCCTCCTCTATAAAACTGCAATATTATTCTACTTTTACTACTTAAATTTTTTTCAAATACTTAGATTATTGATCCACTATTAAAGTATATAATGAGATATGGTTCTAATACTATTCCTTATCAGTACTATTTAATTTTCCTAACAGTTTTTATAAAATAATTATTTCTGTGTCATATATTAGTCTATTGTAGCAAATGTTTGATGGCTAAGGTGGTTTCAAGCAAATTTGGTCTACTTATTGTGGCATTTGATCTATTATACTTAAAATTCTTTAGGATATTTTGATAGCCTGTACTGTCTGTTCTTTTATCTATTTTTCATTTTTTGGTGGCTTTAGCTTGTTTAAATAGGCCAGGCTAGAACTACCTCAGTTGTACATGATATATACTCATTTTAGTTCTTGTGTTTTGGTATTAATTTTGATCTTTGCTGTAATCAGTCAATGTTGTTGAAACAAGACAGAGACAACTCACATGAAAATAACTTCTATATCAATGAAGTTGGTTCCAATATGTTAAAATATAATCAATTTCATTTTTGTGATGTCATTTCTTATAATTTATGATGTCATTTATCACCACATCCAGCACCTCCCAACTCTCTTCTCTGAAAAAAATTTGCAATAAATAAGAATGAAGCTTCGGAAAAGCCTATAAGCCTATAACTTCCTTACTTCTTCTTCCTGGAACAATATTTTCCAAAATATTTTTTGCTATCAGAATTTATATTTAAGGCAAGTATTAAATTAAAAGTTGCTTTAATTTGAGGAGTCATATCAAGTTCTTTGTGGACCTTACTAGTATCCAAAATGTCAATGTGAAATCAATAAATACCAATCTGGATACCTAATATTCTCATTTCTAAAAAATGTATAGAAAAAGGATCTACTCATGTATCAACACACTCCTTAATGGTGATATAAGGAAGAGCCAAACTATTGCAATTGATTGTTCTGCCATGAAGGATCACATGATCATAGATT